TTCCCCCGAATACCGCTGGAAATCATGATGAAAGCTACTGTTTGTCGTGCTTAGCCTGTTGCAGCGACTGGCTACCTCCTTCCCTTTGACTCTGAGCAACCAATGAAGACGAATGAACAAATGAATGAATAAATAATCAGTGATTCTCCGGTGAAACTTAATCTCCGCTGTGTGTGTGTGTATGTCAACTCGCCCTCAACGAGGCTCAAGCCCCACGGCGCTACTCCGCGCTTACTACAATAAAATGAACAAATATTATTCAAACGTAAGGCATTATTGTACCGATCGCGCGCTATGGGATATTCCTGTTGGTTGAACACAGTGCCTGAGAATGGGAATTATTGAATCAACTTGCATTCTATTCAATACAACCCTTTGTCAACACTTCCTTGTGAAGGGCGCATGGGAACCGCATACATGTAATTGCATTGATCGTGGCAGAGAGCTACCAAAAATATGCTTTGCGTTTCCTGAACATAATTTTCTGATAGATTAGCGGTTATGTTGTGGCCAACTTTATTGTTTAAACAAATTCTATCAAATGAGGGCTGGAAGAAATTACGTCATTCTTCCTAAGAAATGAGCCCTTCCCAGCTCCCTGTTTGGGTGGTGGGTCGTGGGTATTAGTGACAGTCTATCATTCGACATACTCTTTAAAGCTATTCGTTTGATATTACATGATTGAGAATTTCAACGACAAAATACGAATCCCCGAATCAAGAATTGGTTGACAAGGAAATGTTTCCCACTAGTCAATTTATATTTCGAATCACCCCGTCTGACAACCACAAGTTTATCAAACTTTCTCATTCGAGGTTCCCAGACTTATTTTTAGTGTATGATGTCATCAGTGTCTATAAGAGAACATAGTATCGATTCTATACACTCAACTTTCTGACATTACTTTTGTATATTCCATATGCACTTCGAAAAACATAATTCCAAAAGTCTCCTACTCATACTGTAACAATTAAATTCCTTTTAAAAAGGTATACAATAACTGCGTTACATCTTGTGTAAAAAGAGCTGGATTTAATTCGCTCAATTACAAACAATCGATTATTTCCAGTCAATGCATATAATTCGTTCAATTACATTAAATCGATACTGTTGGTCCGTAAGGGGAGTTCCATTGAGTACGCAATGTTATAGAATAAGCTGCCGTGAGAAATCACAGAGGTGAACAGTGCCAGTTTGGGCATTCCGAATCGATTAAAGTGGAGGGAATAATTACTCCAGACTGAAGCATTTTCAAAAGCTTCAAAGCTAAAACAATTGATAACGGAGAGAGTAGAGATCAGCGAGGCGCCGCTGAAGGAGCCGTGGGAAAGACAGGTGGCAAGAAAAACCCGAGGAAGAGTCAGAATCAGAAACGGAAATCAAAGCCACCCAAACCTTCTGATATCGACGACAAGGCGGGGTGAGTATAGGCGTATTGATGATTGTGAAGTTTCGGAATCGCGACACCTCAGTCTTTTTCATTCTTAAAAAAGATTTTGTCTCTCCAAAATGACGTCTATCACCTTAGGCAATCTTCTCTTTAATATATTGGCCCTATTATTATATTTATTTTGAACAGTATTTTGGAAGAGAGTGTGACTTTTTAACCTAATTTTCCAGTAGCGACCATGCGAATCGATAGGCCTACACTCACACAAGTGCACTATGCGCGCTAGCCTTGACCAAGGCGTTGGGCTTATCGATTCGCCGATAAAAAAAAATCGCCGATAAGAAAATCCATAATCAACTTGGCAAGGCATAATTGCGTGCACATATCGATGCCCGTACGCTGCTAGTGAGAAAGTAACTTGTACCATACAGCAAGGCTATGCTTGTACATTACGTACGCACGTACACACACCCACTCGTACAACAGCCATGCACACACAGTACAGGCATGAGCTAGTCCGCGTAACCCAACGCCTTGATGGTTTTGAGTCTGGTTTCAGTGTTGTACAAAGTTTTCTCGTTTCGACTCTGTACCCCGACCTTTAAAAATGATTTGCGGCGAGGTGCGGCAAGCTTAATCATTTCTCTTTATAGGCCACTGTTTCAGTGAAAGTCTGAACTTTCTGGGTACGATCGAGTGTACTAATCCGTATCCTTTTTTTCTTATAAAGATATGATAAAAAAAATTACGATTTATCCAGTAGATTTTATTTTTACACGGTGATTTAAATGAAAGTTCCGGCTCACACGGTAATGTTTGGCGCAAATGGTCGATATGGAAAGCGCGATTTCATAATTCGTTTTTCCATCCAAATGAATGCAAAGTTCTGAATGAATGTTTTAATAATAGGAGTCAGTATTCCTCGTGGTACCAGGACACTTTTTTGTATTTTTAGAGCCATGTTGATACTTATTACATGTATAAGCAAGGTTTGAAATTGACTAATTTTGCGTGGTTACAGATATACGGTCAAAACCTCTGGACTCCCTACCCGTTGCCATGATCTTAAAATTCTTCGAAGCCATTGGATTCAAATCGGATGATCCGAGAATTCATGGTCATTTTGATGAACTGAGTGATATCATGCACGCATGTTCCGTGTTGCCGTGTTGTTTGGAGCGGGATTGGCCATTGCCAGACTTTGTCTGGTACCGCGGTATTAACAGTGATAATGCGTGGACACTTATCCCGTTGTGTGGAGCGGGATTGGAACTATGCTTAACCCGTGCGTAACGGCGGGCCGTCTGGCATTGTCTGGTCGCATCGCGGTGTTTGCTCGTAACTTTTTGGTTATGAGTGGTAAAAACCTGATTCAAAAATCAAGTTGTTGTTTATTTAATGGGGATTCCTATGATATTAAGCATTTTGATAGGTTTTGAAAATAAGATTTATAAAACATGCTAAAAGTAAATGATGTAAATCTTACAAATAGAAATTCAAAATTTGGCCATTTAAATTGTTGTATCTCCAAAGGGCAAACACATATGAGCCTGATTCAAACGCCATTGATTTTGTTGTGTGATTTGCTTTCAGTGATACAAAACTTGAGATTTCTTTCTTTAAAAAATAAAATTCGCCGGACGCCCTACAAGAGGAAACCCATTGCAAGCTGTAAATTTGTAAGCCAGGCACTCCTAAACTCAGTGAATTCAACTAAAAAAATGTTAAAACCATCTTAGCCTTGTTTTAGTGATTTATATTTAATTACGTGTTTTGATAGCTGGCCTCGGCCTCGGCCTTGGCCTTGGCCTCGCGGTTGTGGCCTCGGCCTCGGCCTTGGCCTCGGAGGTTGTGACCTCGGCCTTGGCCTCGGCCTCGGAGGTTGTGGCCTCGACTACAACACTGCCACACCCATGTTTGTTTTACATACGCTATGTGGACATTCCTTGTTTTCGTGTAGTTAAGAAAACTCGGTACAAAAAATACTTTACTTAAACAGTGAAAACTCTTTAAACCCAATTTTTTTCTATGATTCTCTATAGTGTTTCTCTTCATTCTGCCACGGATAAACCTAACCCCAAAATGCCTCTAAACCTGTTTTCCAGAAAGTGCAAAACGTTATGGGGACACGGCTTAGTCCACATAACGTCAACACAACCTGCATTATGTGGACATCTTTTGTTCACAAGTCCACATAGTGAATGTAAAACATACTCACACCCACACACACACACTATTTGATTTTACGGAGGCCAAGTGTCCGGAGAAAAAAACGTTTTCACATTTCAGCACGGATGTGCAAGTGCCTTTTTCAAGAATGTTTTAACCCCCCCCCCCCAATACAAATTACCTTGATACGCCACTGACTATAATTATTTCGTTTTTTGTTTTTGGATGAAACCAAAACTGGCAGCTGTAGCAACAACTTTGGGGCAAGAATCACTTAATTTAATATGCAAATTAACCACGCTTCTATAGCATTGGCAGCGCTATACATCCCTACCTAACTCAATTGCAAACTTTGTTCACATTGCGGGATGTCGTTATGATTCGGGTCTATTCAGTGTTGTTATTGATCGATGTTGCTTTCTTCGAAAGCCTTTTTAAATCACAAACGTTGATATAAGGATATTTGTATTGAACAGGGATCCAGACAGAGGCAACATGGCTAATTGGCAAAGATCTATTGACTGGAAGAAGCAGCCCTGCCATTTCACCTGGAATCTGAAAGAAAACTCTCTCACTGATTATGAGAAGATCGTGCGCAAGATAGACAACGACCTTGAGCAAACTCCAAACTTGCTGGGCTTAGAAAATCTTCTGTTTCGAGCATATCTAGAGGTGTCCGGCAAGCGAAATAAATGGGATGTCGAAAAAGCGCTTAAATTCCTTGATAAAGCAGACGATTACAACCGCATCAATAATGAATCGAACAAGAATTTGTACGATGGTTACAAACATGTAGCTTCGTTGAATCGCATGTGGATCAAAGACAAGTGCCGGGACAGAACCGAGGTAAACAGGTTGCTCGAGAGACTTCAGGATATAGATAGCGACCACCCCGTTATTGGTGCAGTGCGAGCTACAGCTCTAATGCGTCTTGGACCACATGCATTTGAAGGCATCGCTCTACAGCTTTTTGAGGCAGCAGAAAGGCAGTTTCCTGGTAATGCCGGGTTTCTGTATGGAGCTGCCTCTACTGCTGGTAGGGAGATGCGATACAAAAGAAAACCCGGAGCTAAATATCAAGAACTGGACAAAAAGGGGCAAGAGCTTATGGACAAAGAGAAAGTGTACTGGAAAAAAATGAGTGAAGATAGCATTGATGAGTATCAAGTTGCCAAATCAAACCTGGCTCAAAATAACAGTCGTCGACCAGATGAAGGCCAACAAGAGGCTTACAGTAGCTTAAAAGAAGCATACGAGATCGCCCCCAAAGTGGCAGAGGTGTTTCTCAATTTAATACGATATGAACGAGTTCACTATGTTGACACAGCAATAGAAAGATTTAAATCTTTGACAGAGCCGTTATATAAATGCGAAGAGGTTCATCACCAACTGGCATTGTGTTACAATGCGAAACATAAATATAAACTAGCCCTCCATGAATTGAACGAATGTCTGAAACTGAATAAAGGGCACATCTATGCGATTGTGGGAAAGGCTAGACTGCTCAGCGAAAGGACATCTGAGGGGGACGATGTACAGCAAATTGTTGAACAATTTGAAGAACTACTTCTCCTTTCGAAGGATTTGGTGCCAGAAAACAAGCTGGACCTTTACTACCACTTAACATATTTTCTGGAGAAACATAACACAGAATCGAAAAATTACTCAAGGAAAGACCTCTGGCACACAGTGATGGACATCGCTTCTTCTCCATCTTTTGAGAAACAGGACGAGACCACAGGCAAATGGCAAGTAACGAAAAAGGCTGAATACAAGAAGAAACGGGCGTATGAGGAATTAAAAAAAGAATACACTGCCCATCCTGAAGACCTACCCCTAGACAAGAAGCTCGAACTTTGCTACTTAAAATTCCAGAATTTGGAATTCAAAGAGGTTCAAGACATGTTGGGCGAAATGGAGGAGGACAATTTCAAAATACCCCATCTCCTTGCAGAAACAAATTGGAAGTTGGGTTTGGAAAAGGAAAAGGAAATGGAAGCCGAAACACAGAAATGTGAACCGACTAAAGCAACACCTTATTTCGAAGAGGCTCGTAAAAACATGTATCTCGCAATACAAAAGGGTCTGACGAATATGGGAGGTCGAAAGATTTTGGCTGACATTGCTCTTTCTATCGCACGTAACCAATTCCACTTAGTTGACTCTCAACAGCCAGAGCCAACTCGTGCTCCCGTACCACTTGAGTCTCCATGCATCAAGTCCTACAGGGAGGCTGTCAGATGTGGAAGTGTCGTTGCCAGTTTAGAGCTTCTTAGACTAGTGAGTCCTCAGCTCAAAACGACCACTTCAAGGTCTCATTTCCTCATGGTAAGAAACTCTGTATTTTTTCAAAAATAGTTTACTGAAGAATAACAGGTGGAATTATAAACCGGATTGTGTGATTTTTTATTTAGGAAAGAATCTTAGACCTATACCTAGAACTTTTGGAAAAATGAGTCTATTCCATTACCAATGACTGTTGTGTTTCAGATTCTTGCAGAGATAGACCTCTGCTGCTCCCAGGACCCAAGTGTTCACCTTCATCAGGATGTAAAACCTCTTCCCCTAGAAGATGACCAACTAAAAGATCTGTCGACAGTGGACTGTGAGGAGATGCGGAATCACATCGATAACCTAATACAAGAGGGCTCATATTTCACTCCAGCATGGGAAGAGTATTTCAACATGGAGAGACGATTTCTTGAAGAGAGGCTCACAAACAACGACAAGAAGGTGGAGCTTGACGGCAGGGAAGAAGAAGCCGACTCAACCCAATTGGCGTCCAAAAAAACACGTTCCGCTGGGATCAAATGCTGTTCGCAAATCCGACCTCTGTTGGACCACATCATCGTCGAATTTCGGGTAAACAGAAGATGTCATTGGTGTGCATTTTGAGACCTCAAATCAAATAGCGCTTTTAAAGAAGATCAAAGAGCTTTTCATTATTATTATTACCCCTGATCAAAATACCATCTCATCTTCCTGGGGAGTATACAGGGTGAGTAAAAAGGGCACACGCACCATAGCCGCAGGCTGGACTCGAACCCACAACCTGCAGAATTGCCCGCAGACCACGAATTCAGTGCCCCAGACCACGAGGCCACGGCACTCCATTACCTGCTTGACCTGCATGAGCACCCTTATGAGCACCCTCAGTTTGCATCCTTCTCACGCTTCACCGCTGGCATCCCACGGCCTACACGAGTACCCCGGGTTTGCATCCCTCTCACGCTTCATCGCTTCCAGGCACCGTATAACCCCACATCACCATTGCAGTCCGTCAGTCTCCTGACGACGGGCAGAGCATACTGTCCGAAACGTTGAGTAAATTCCGGTTCTTTTCAGCACCACACATACTCACAAAAGGGATTTTGCCACATGGTGCTACCGCAACAACTTACCTTATTTTTAAGGAGAAACAAGTGCATGACCGTAACTGTGAAAGGGGTAAAATAAGGTGATAATTGGGGAGGGGGAAGAACAGAAGAATGAGACACATGGTAAAGTGGAAAGGGGAGGATAACATTTGTGGGAGGAAATAAGTTATAAATGCATGGTTGTTGCATGTAAAAAACAGTTCGTATTTGCTCTGCCGGCCCGTCTTCAGGAGACTAAGGAATTATACTTTGACAATTTTTTTTCAGGAGGATTTATATTCAGTCTTGTTGTTTACAGGAAAAACAGTTGGGAATCGAAGATCAAAGGATGAAGCTTTATTTCCCGCTGATTTGTGAATCAAGAGATTACCAAAATGACAACGAACGCAGGGAGGAAACAACCAAATCTCTTCGTAAAGTGCTGCAGGATTACTTCGAAATCGACATGGCGAACCATTATCCGAAGCTCTTTAAAAATGTTTTGGAGGTAGGCGTAAATGAATGGACTTATCAAAATATTAATTCAAGTCTGTAAGGCAGTAATTTAAGTATTTACCAATCAATACAGGGTGAGTAAAAAAAACGAAACCCAAATGTTGGGACCAATGTTTTAAGGAAGTTCTGCATGTAGCATTTTCAAAATCTAGGATATAAAAGCCTAGTTCATAAGCTTTCTTTTAGTACAAGAATTATTCAAATTTCTTATGTACGTTTCAAGTTACGGAAGTGTAAACACAACCACCGTTTTAAGGTTCTGTCCACGGATCACAAAAAAAAGTTCAGTGTTCTTTCAGCAAAACGAAAACAAATCACATGGGGATGTGTATGAATTGTTTTCGTTTTGCTGAAAAAACGCACACCTTTGCTGTGATCCGTGGACAGAACCTTAAAACGGTGGTTGTGTTTAAAACTCCGTAACTTGAAAAGTACAAAAGTGATTTAAATGATTCTTGTACTAAGAGAAAGCTGATGGATTGGGCTTTCATATTCTAAATTTTGAAAATGCTACCCTAAAACAATGGTCCCTACATTTGGGTTTCGTTTTATTTTGACTCACCCAGTAGAACGAACATGCAAACATCTATTTCTGATAAGGCTCGTTGTTTCTCATGTATTATTTTCTAACTGCAGGTACAACCGAGTTACGATTCCCAAAATGACTTCCTTCGATCATTGTTCGACGTGGTGAATAACTACAAGCACGAAACTTTTAACCAGGACAAATTACTTAAAGACATCGATGATCCAGTGAAGTTTTTTCGTCAATGTATGGATAAAGTCGAGGAGATCTGGATCTTTTTCTCAGACGCCATGAGGGAAACCAGAGATCTAAAGGAAAAGGTGAAGCAACTTGAAGATGATATCAGACGTGGCAAGTACGAGAAAGCTGATGAGCTGCTTGAAGTGCTGTCAAACAACGAAGACTTCGTCGTCCGGATTGGAAGTACTTGGGAGTTACTGAAGGTAAACTTTACAACCATGAAAAGGCAAACCAGTTGCTAAAAATATATACCTTTGAAAATCCTCATTAAACTTTCATTCTTGTATTGTGTCTAAGACATGGTTTGTCTTGCAGAAATTAAACTTGTGACTTCCGACATACTATGCCGGTTTTCCTCCAACTCAGTGTATGGCCTCCAATTCCTACATGTCGGCAGTCGGAGTCTCCAAATCGCCAGGGTCTTTATTCAAGGGTTAATTCAGCATATGATTGGATATCTCAGTTGGTAGATCACCAGTACGGTAATACGGTTGTCCCAGGCTCAAATCCCGATCCATCCAGTTTCTTCATTTTACTCCAACATTGATCAAAAGACAAGTGAGCTTAGTTATAGGTTTTCTTTGTGGTTTATTGAATGGTCAATTATTTTGTGTATCATTTCTTCTTCCCGACAGAAGATGGCCTTGATTCGTCGGAGCATACAACAGCAGACTGTTGATGATGCGGAGAGTAAACTGGTAGATGGAGAATTTGGTTTCAGCCACGATCTTCGAAGATGTCATCTTACAGTCGAATTGTTGAAGACCGACCCTGGAGCCAGCTCCACGGAGCTTCACGAGAAGTGCAGAGACACCTGTAGAGAAGCTACCAATATGTTAGCGTTGGTACTGTCGAAAAAGAAGGTAAGGCATATTTGCACCTCCACCCAATCCAAGGACGCTTTCCATGTGTTCTCTTTGGATGAGTGTTGTTACCTGTGGTCACCACTTTCGCATGTCCCGACACTGCACACTCAACCTGCATTAACCACAGCGTCTCCATGGCATCGAATACCGATAATACGCAACCATCAGCAGCACGATAGCAATAGTGTTCCTTAAGTAGCACTAGTGTAAACTATAAGTTTACTTTCTTGTCAAAACGTGTGGAGTTATATCTAGGCTGCTAAATTTCATGTTACTACAGTTATGTTGATAACATTTAATTATCGATTGTATGAACTTATTGTGTAGGGAACTTATTGTGAAGTCAAATTTAATATTATGTTTATTAAATTGTCGATGTTAGAAGCACTCCACTGCACTAAACATTTTTCAAATTATCTAATATCTCCCCGCGACTCTCACTATTTGGCAGCGGCGACTCCCAATCTCGGAACACTGTCCGTGGTGACTCCCCATCTTGCCGCGGCGAGATAGCAAGTCACAGCTAAGCATAATAGTAATGTTGCCCTTCAAAGCTTCCGTATTTGTGGCCCTAATCATATGCTTTTTTTAGCCGCATGGTGGACAATCAGCCACACAGCAGCCGATGCCTGCAGTGACTTTCCCATTTTGTGACCTGCATCCCGGGGTCGATCGTGTTGATCAGTGGAAGGGAAAGGTCAAGAAACACCTGAACAAGGAGCTAAACAAAATGGGAATCCCTGGCTCTGTGAAAGACAACAAAGAGTTATTGGAGACGATCATGCAGGTTGGTCATTCCCCGATACCCTAACCGCGCGAAGCGGATTGAATGGAGACCACACATGCCAATTCTCAAGCGAATTCATCATCCGGCTCTGTGCTGTGTAGTCTTCGCTCCATTCGCGCCACCTTGCAGCTTTGCTGCTTAGTCAAATGTCCAAAGTCACACTTTGTCAAAGACTATTGGCAGTACAGTTCTGTTTCTTTCTCTTTTGCGGTAATCACATTTTATTCACCCAATTATTCATCCAAATAGTTCTCAAATTTATACAAAATAAAATGTTAAGCACGGAACACACATTGGGCTACTGGAATTTGTATACTTATGGCGTCATTTCTTTCTTCTCGTGTACTAAGATTTTAGAGTTTGAAAGTATAGTTTCAAAATGCTCTTAATAACCAGAGTTATTTTCCCTTACATAAAATACTTCAATTTGCGACAGATCAACACACCTTGGAAATTCCTTGTTTTTAGTAAAATCCATATATCTTCTTCGTGATAACCGTGTGCATGTGGAGACGTATTCACCTATAGAAATTGCTCTGTGGAGACGTATACAATCTTTTGTTCCCTATTATGCACGTGTCTCCACAGGGTTCTGTGTACCAGATCATAAACTCGTAAAAACAAAAACTGAATACATTTTAATGGTCATTTCATCACTAAAAAATAAAAATGTTGGAAACTTTGACAGTAATATTGTAATAAAATTTAATAATAATATTAATTCGAAATTGATAAAAAGCCCAATTTGTTTTGAAATTATACATTTAGCTTTTTTTGAATGGTCTAATGTCATGCGTCGTAAGTGTGTAGCTATTAGCTGATTAAATCACGAATGCACACTTTGAAATGCACACTATTTCACTTATTGAAGAGTGGCAAATATAAGAGTTTTTGCTCAAATTTAATATTTTCCCCACAGGCTCAGCCGTGCACAGATGAGGAGAACTACCAGTTTATGGCAGTGGAGCAATTTCTTAAACAGTGCGATGAAGGTGGCGCCATCCCGGACACAGTGTCCATAAAACCAAACAACCAGGAAGAAAAGACCTTCCAGGTTTTAGATCTGACTCGCTGGATCACAGACAACGCCGAGAAAATTGCCATCAATATTGATACACTAAAAAAGGTTGCAGGCCAGTAAATAAGCCCCAAATATACCTTATGCGTTAATAAGGCGGAGTTAGAGGGCAATGGTTTTGAATTGTCTGAAAAGGCGTGAGTAACCCTTTTGTACATTCATTGTCACGAGATTAAAATAACAAAGAATACGCGGAGATGCCTGTAACCCATAAGGTATATTCCACTCGCAGAACAAATCATGATTTGTATACTGTAGAGTTCTCTCGTATAATAAGGGTATTGTGACCCTTTATTTGAGGGTTTGTGAAGATGTATTTCTGAGAAATCTTGGGTGAAATTAGACCTGAAAGTCGTTCAATTTTGCAATCGAGTGGATGTACCAGTTTTTTGTGAATGACGATCGACTTCAGGACTGCATTAACGGACCATAACCTTTGGAGGGAAGACAAATTACACAAAAGTCATAAATTAACACTCCAAAACTAGACAGAAAGTTAAAAGTGGTTAAATAAGTTGTTTGATGGGGGTTTTTTTTGGGGGGGGGAGGAGGGGACAACTTTGAAAGTATTCAACGGTCTTCTTAAAATGTTATCCGTAAAATTCTTTCGGTATTAATCATTACTGATAGGCCTTCTACATAAGAACGACCTTGTTGCGAAAGATTGACACAAGTTGAATGGAATGGAGACTACCCTCACCAATGGCGAGTGACATGCCTGCGCTGTGTAGTCTCTGCTCAATTCGCCTCGGGGGTTTGTCTCTAGGTAACAATGCCACATGCCTTGTCAGATGACTGTAGAAATGTTGGGGGGGGGGGTCAGCATGTGGTATCCATGTTTGATGTGTGCGGCTGGATACCGATTTGAAACGAAATATCAAAGAATAAAAGATTCCTGAGGCAAGACACTATTGCTCGTCAAATTTAAACTGAAGTTGGGAATACTTCGTGGGAAATGACTGGCTTCAGTTGACAGATATGATTAAAGATTGACCGAACGTCGTGCGTTTAATTTGTTAATAATTGTGGGAGTTTTAGTAGACCTATATGCTATGTGTAATTATGCGTTTAGAGATTTGTTTTTGGTAGGTAATTTTTTTCTTTAAACGATAATATTAGTGAGTGATGCAAAAATCACAATGTCACGTAGTACTAGAAAGGGTTCGTAAAAATATATGTACAGAGCTTGCTACATTGAGTTTGCGAAGGTTTAGGACAAAACAAATACAGTGGTTGACATTCAAGGGCAAATGGGTGGCGACGGGGGCCATGCCCCCCCCCCCCTCCCCCCCCCCCCCCCCCCCAAAAAAAATACCAATGTTTTTTTAGGTTACGTCATAAAAAAAGGCAGCTACTGCCTACACCACCATTTTTTGCTCGGAAAAAAATAGTTAAAGTGGTCAGAAATTGCCTCACATCGCTTGTTGCCTCGCTTGTTGAGATACAGAAGTTATAATGGGGGAGCTACTTGGATAATTATTTTGTGTGCCCCGTTGTTTATATTTGTTTCAACTCTTATAAAGGCTGATATACCTTATGCGCAAAGGCGTATATTGAAAGAATAATTGGTATATATGTCAAGCACGAGGTAATCCTTTTGTTCGTTCGTTGTTCATAATTAAAATAACAAAGAATACCATCTGAGACACCCGTAACGTAAAGGTCTTTGGATATGACTCAGTTGCGAGGGTTTCCTTTCGGGGGGATTTGTTGTGCTTTGTGATTATTTTTTCTTCTTCATTTATCTTATTAAGGGGGCTTGAAGGGTGTGTTTTCTGTTTGTTTTGTCGTTTTTGCTTGGCTATTTTTAAAGGTAGGTGTGGAGCTGGATAGGTGTTAATCAAAGCTATTTTGTATAACCAATATTTGTATTTTATGAAATAATACTTCTGCGTAGCTCCTATAACAACCGTGCTGTAGTCGAGACATTTCCGAGAACCTTCAAGAAATCATATTTTATAATCGTACGTAAATTAAGAAAAATAATTGGTTGATGAAAGAATACTCATATGTATACATCTGAATCATCATTAACTTTTGAGAATAAATGCAATTTTTAAAGTCAAAATCTCACCTCGTTCCAAGACCTTTTTAGATCGATATGGAATTTTTCCCGATTTAATTTGTATATTAAATCACATTATTACACTCATTCAGTCCAAATGTTTGCGTTCGAAGTCCGATAATTTTTCATCATTAATTAATGTTGGACTTGAATCAAATCTGGTAATTTGTGTGAGATTTTAGATATGTTCTCGACTACAGCACTAGCCTAGTACTTGGTGAAAGTGCACTTTAATTTGTACTGAGTACAGCGCTTGTTTGTAACAGGTTCAATATATTTCTTGCAATTAAAAGTAGAAAGCTGCAATTTTAAATGTTTTAACTGTCAGCATTTTTTGTCAGTGTTTTTAATTTCGAAACCAGTAGAATGTTCTTATTTTTATTACAAATCGACAATTATTAAGCACGAGGTTACACAAAACCTCGGTTGAATGATTGTCGACCTACTCGCCCACTAACAACGGGAAGAACATGTATTTTGTGGAATACACAATTTTAACAATTCAAATGAAAATTTTGAATGCTCAGAAGATTATCCCATTTCATATGCCTAATAGATTGTACGTGAACAACCACACTTTCTGGAATCTTTTTTTCTTTTTTTACTGTTAGAAGACAATCTATAGGGTTAAAATATAGGACGGCAGGCCGTTTGCAAGACGGAGGGAGGTCTATTGGAAGTGAGGGGGTAAATTGTTTACAACCTCTGTGCTGAAAATGCTTTCAAGGAATTGTTCTTCCTTCTTTACGTTCATGAATATTAATTTGCATTGACCAGTTGTTTTCAAAAGCCAGCCAGTTAACCAAATCATGAAAGGAAAAAAGTGTTTGTTCGCTGTTTACTCTATTTGAATTTTGTTGCTGCTTTTTCGACAAATAATGTTGGAGACACGATCTAACTTTTACAAGGGCATTTCAGGTGCTGCACATATGGCTACTCAAATATAGAAACAGTATCGGTAGAGTTCATACGGAGTTTGACGAAGCCTCTAACGTCCTTAGCGTTTATGCAACATAAAAAAATATGCTTATCATCTAAAAATATCTGTTTTATGGGTTTTTGGTCTTTGTCTGGGCATGATAAAATTCTGCTCTGAGCTGACGAAAGAATGCGTCGTGGCTACACTGTACGAAATACTATTTTTTTTTTCAGAATTAATACATGAGAAGAAAACGATAGGGTACAATTCCAACCAGATGTATATGGCTAGGAAAATCGGCATAGGTATAAATCAGGACATACGAATATACCATTACATATAGAATGATAGAAATTTATGTTTACCTTTTGTTACATTTTCAGTGGCGTTGCCGGGGGGTTGTTTAAGGGTGTATTTAACCTCCCCCCAAAAAAAAATTGTATTGAGTGCCCTTTTTTCACAAGTGCCCATTTTTCACAAGGGCAATCTTGCCTTTTTTGTGTTTCATATTCTAAGCCCGACCATAGTGCGTTTCGTTGTATTAAACTCAATAAACGCGAATTTCTAGTTTTAATATTGAAATGTATCAAACTTAAAGGATGTATTTTATATTGAAATGAAAAGATGTGGTTCAACGGAAAAGGCTGATTTTGTTATGCTTTCTTTGTTCCGACTGTTCTGACAAAATATTCAAAACTGGGCAATGTGAAATGAAGTAGTTTTCTGTCCAATCACTCTGCATTTTGTAACTCAACAAAAGCGAATCTCTTGGTTGTTTATGTGTTTTTAATCATTTTAGTTATAGAAAGTCATGAATATCACAGTAAATGCCATGATGCGTGATGTTTGTAACATGCATATACATGTAGTTGTGTTGAAGTACTCGTACTCGTACTCAAGCAGGCCTACATTTTTAGTATACCATAATCGTATGTACTCGTACTCGTAAAGAAAAAAATATCCGTACTCGTGTTCATGACAAAGTACTCGTATTCGTACTCTTGATCTATCAAGAGCTATATGCAGAAAAAGAACCAGACTTCTATGCTTGGGAGGCTTCTGTATTTGCTTATTACCTAGTTTGATAGCAGAAAGCCCTTGAAAGCACGTGACATATTGAAATGAGTTCCTTGTGGAAAGTATACTCATATTTGTACTTGTGCTCGTCGAGTACATTTTGTGGTACTTGCACTCGTACTCATGTAAATATGTTGCCTAGTACTCTTACTCGAACTCATGACAAAATACTCGTACTCATACGCGTACTAATGGGAAAGTACTCGTACTCGTACTCACTGTCATATAGGCCTGCATCAATACATTTAGACCGAAAACCCGTATGGCCGGCGTATTGGTAATACATTCAATTATGTGCACGTATAAGCAAATTTTTTGAAGGTCTAAAAAACCTCCAGAATAAAGTAAGTCACCATATACAGCTACAACTGGTAAAATAAAGGATGAAAAAGGATGAAAATGTTTCCTTACTTTGTCATCTTGACTGCATGCGGAATTTACGGAAGTATAGCAGGGACACGTCTGATGAAAAAAAAATGGCGTGGCCGAAACAATAGCTCTCCGAGCTTGGATAACAAGTCATTGCATTGAGTACATGGATGTATAATCGCAGCGATAAAATGCTCTGTGGAACGTCCTCGAAGAAAGCGCGGAAATTCACTGTGGCAAAAAATTTGTCTTGGCCCTTCTTACCTCCGTAAAAAGAATGACGTATTATTTAATCTTCGTTTTGTCCCTCTGCCTATTTTCGCTTTATTTCCATTGATTCTGGAGGTTTAACAATTGATCCAAAGGCAAAATCCAAAGTATGCGTGTTCTCTCTGTACGGCATTGTTTGTGCTTCTTTCTTGGGGTGCTTGCTTGTACGCATGCGCACATAATTTGAAATTCTTACCAAAGTTGTGTTTGTGCGGTGGGGTGAGGGCTGAACTAATTGCTAGGCTCTTGTTGTCACAACACTTTTTAACGCGTGGGGAAAGAAATGATATCCAAAATTGTTTAAAATAAAAGAGGGGCACTAGGCCTAGGACTCTTCTTGGCATTGGTGCATGGTGGCGCAATTTTAATGCTGTACGCAGTGGCTGGTTTTTTTTTATTTCGACTTCATTTTTAAAAACAAATGGGTTCGTTTTGGGGAGGCATGGCCCCCGAAAATTATGTTACAGTTAGCATAGATTTTTCGCTAATGGTAAGCAGAGCCAAGAAATTGGGCCAAGTCGTTATCATCATCCCATTAACCGTTTGAGGCTCATGTCTATATTTTAAATTCACCTAACTTTGACCTTCCGGTTACCCGGGAAGGAAAGGTCAGACGAATTTGTCTTGGGAAATAAAAATTGTAATACATTGTATGAACTATCAGATTAAACAAAATGTTAACGTGGTTGTTCATTTTCTGCATGAGTTATAAATGGAAGAAAATGGTAATTTCACGTAAGAAAATCGCTTGTAACTTGATACCTGATGACAGCATCATGCATAATATGC